GAATGTAAATGAGTAAAGATACGTCTTGAGACGTAACACTATGACGAAAGACGTGAAGACACATGTGTTAAGTTGCGACCTTTGCCAGCGCGTTAAATATCTCACGATCACGATGGAGGGGCCATATCAGCTCGTCGGGGCCGAAAAGCCATCAGATCTGGTGACGGTTGATTTTTATGGCCCTCTCCCTCGCGGTCGGGGGGGAGTACACATATTCGTGGTATTGGACGCGTTTTCAAGGTTAATTCGTATTTACCCCATGAGGAAAGCCACGAAAGGCGCCGCACTTAGGAGACTTATCGAAGAATATATTCCGGAATGCGGAAAATTCGAAAGAATTTTGAGTGACAACGGTAGTCAATTTACGTCCATTAAGTGGAAAATCGAATTGGAAAAGCTCGGAATAAAAGTTGTATATAGTTCAGTTAGACATCCCCAATCCAATCCCACCGAACGGGTAATGAGAGAAATAGGCCGATTTTTCAGAACATATTGCGAAAATAAACATACTTCCTGGCCATTATATTTATCTAAAATGCAGGAACTATTCAATATAACGACTCATCATAGTACAGGCTGTGCACCTAATGAATTGCATTTTGGACAAAAAATTCAAGATAAAATAACTACGTTTTTAAAGTTTCCACAATCAAATCCCATTAACCATAAATACCTTATAACCTTTGCAAAGAAAAACATTGAAAAAAGTCATGCGGCTCGTACCAAGCATCAAAAGCCATCTAAGGTTGTGATAAAAGAAGGAGACCTGGTACTTTTGAGAGTGAGACATTTGTCTAATGCGTTGGATAAGGTTACCAAGAAGTTTTTCCATTTGTTTGAAGAGCCTTTCAAAGTCGCGAGGGACCTGGGTCGCAATGCTTACGTTTTAGTTGATCCGAACGATCATGGTGTTGAGAGAGGCGTCTATAATCGTGCAAATCTAAGAAAATATTATAAGGCTTAGTTTAAAGCGTTTCGGTGTTGGTGAAAATAAGAGTGATCCTTCAGGAAGGATGTGCTTTAATCAGAGATTAAAGTAATACCAAACGGAATTTGAAGGACGCGCGTGTAAGACATGGACTTACTTAGTTATGTGAGAATTAGTTTAAATTGTAAGCGAATCGAATAATTTAGGTGCACCTATATGTATAAAGCGTACGAAGATTTGCGAATTAATTGAATTGTAAAAAACAAGTAAGCGTGAAATGCGTGTGTGAATGTGTTTGATTGCGTGATTTTGGCGTGGTGTGAATGTTTTGCGTGAGCGTGCATATCGGGTGTTCCGATTGGCATGGCTCGGAGAGTGTACGGGGTTGCGGCCTCCATTTTCGGTCTGGATGGTTGTTTGATTTTCTGGGAACGATTGCGGATTTCCTGCTTAGTTTTTTTTTTTTTGTTTTTGAGCGGTTGACTCCAACCACTAAAAAGGGGAGAGAGTTGTAACATGTGCCGCTGACTCGAGCGCGAGAGCGACCGATCCTGCTGGTAACGCTCGTGAGCCATGTGTTCGGTTGCGAGCGGGCTCGCGAGGCCGTCGTAGGGGGGTGTTGCTTGCGCGCGTTTGCCGACGGCACGATTGGTTTCGAGTACTCTTCGATCAGCGCTCGCCGGGCACGGACCTTCCCTGGATAGAGTGACATTTTCCTCGGACCTTCTCTGGATAGAGTGACGTTTTCCTTTCATCAGGAGAACACTTTCTGTGTGCGACGATCTCAACATCGAGGTGCTTGTCCTGCCCGGGAAGCCGTTCTTTCTTCTAAGTGACACACGACTCTTCCTTTCGATTGTATCGATGGAATCATCCGACAGAAGTACTCACTGGAGCTCGGGTGGTGACCTTTTGGATGGATGATCATCCCCTGGATATCCACGTTGACATGGTGCGTTTAGGAAAGAGGCGATATCAGGTTCTATCCTCGTTATCATGTAAGTGAGCGTGTGAACCGAGAAAATTGACGACATAGCGAATAAATTCGATATAAAGACTCGTGCGAATAAGAGAAGACGAATTATGATGAATAATTTAATATACGAGATGAATTAGATTTATAGACTTTTGCGAGTGAAATTGAATTTAAGTTGTATATATCTATGATAGCGATTTTGAAAATGTAAATAGTAGCCGTTTGGTCTGTGCGGATACGCGTATGTAAATTAAGCCGACAGCGACGTTTAGACTGTAACGACAGTACAAAATAAACAAGCTTAGTATAATAAATTTGAATAAGATGACAACGTATCGGGAATGAACTTGTATATCCCGAATTATTTCACATATCGTCCTCTTCCTATCTACTCATACGAAATTATATTTACATATTTGTATTTCTCTCGAGTCCATGGTTGGATTTGATAAAGTACAATTACACGAGACAGAACTGGATAAAGTTCTGAAGTTGGCCGACACGGTTCACGCCGTAAACCCTCAACAGTCTAAGCAGCAGATCAGTGAAATTTCTGATTTCGCTGTTCTCGTCGAACAGATGCGCAAGCTGACGGCGAAAATCGACGCGATCACTAGTCAGCAAAGCCGCTCACCTCGTTCTCGCCGAGGATTTGAAAAACGTGGTCGCGGTATGACTCCTGCACCGACGCCGAACAACAACTCTCCGGATGGGTACCTTTGTTTTTACCATAAGAGGTTTCAGGAGCGTGCGGAAAAGTGCCGTGGACCATGTACCTGGTCGGGAAACGACGCGTGCCGTCAGTAAACGCGGCGAGTTCTGACGACTTCGGGCATCGCCGAATTCATGTGAAAGACTTAAATTCAAATAAATCTTTCCTCGTGGATACTGGTGCTCATTTGTGCGTATACCCGCGAAAGTGGCTGGCCAAGGAAACGAAGAAAAGTGCTTACGAACTCTTTGCTGCTAACGGATCTACAATTAGCACCTACGGAATCGTGTCCTTAAGCCTTAACCTATCGCTACGCCGCGAGTTTAACTGGCCGTTCGTCATCGCCGACGTGAGTTCCGCGATTATCGGAATGGATTTCCTCTCGCATTATGGCCTGCTAATCGATCCAAAAAGAAAAACCTTGATCGATAATACCACAGGTTTGTCAGTGCGTGGAATTCGAAGGAGGGAAGACGTCAGTCAAAACAGTGATCGGTGCCTCTGCGTATCACGAACTTTTGGCCAAGTACCCGGACCTCACGCGCCCGCCAAGTTTTCGGAAAGGCGAAATCAAGCACCGAGTACAGCACCACATCAAGACGATGCCTGGTCCGCCTATACGTGCGAAGCCTCATCGCCTTAGACCTGATCGGTTGAAGATAGTAAAAGCCGAATTTGACATGCTGTTACGGCAAGGCGTCATGCGGCCATCAAAGAGCCCATGGTCGACGCCACTCCACGTTGCTGCTAAGAAGGACGGAAGCCCTCGTCCATGCGGCGATTATCGCGCCCTCAACGAACGCACCGTCGCAGACAACTACACTCCGCCACACATCGAAGATTTTACGTTTAATCTACACGGCAGAAAGGTATTTTCGAAAATCGACATTGTGCGCGCGTTTCATCAAATTCCCATCGCCCCGGAAGACACCGAAAAAGCAGCGCTTACAACGCCTTTCGGATTATTCGAGCCGCTTATGATGATGTTCGGTCTAAGAAACGCTGCGCAGACGTGCCAACGTTTTGTTGACGAGATTGTACGCGGTTTAGATTTTGTATTCGCGTACATCGACGATTTTTTGATCGCATCGGATGATGAGAAGCAACATCTCGAGCACTTGAAGATTTTGTTTGATCGTTTTTCTGAGTATGGCGTGGTGGTTAATCCCGGAAAATATGTGTTCGGTCAAAGCGAAATAACTTTTCTCGGGTACAAAGTTAATGCCGACGGCATCGCTCCTATGGAAGAACGCGTCGAGTCGATCATTAAGTATTCGTTGCCATCTACGATTAAAAGTCTCCGCGGTTATCTCGGCATGTTTAACTTTTACCGTAGATTCGTACCTCACGCCGCTGCTATTCTGCAACCATTGAACAATTTGCTAACTGGCGCGAGGAAAAGCAAAGAACCCATAGATTGGACAGACGAAGCTCGTGACGCTTTTAATAAATCAAAAAGCGCTCTTGCTAAAGCAACAATGCTTGCGCACCCTGCCCCTGGCGCGCCTATCAGCATTGTTATAGATGCTTCGGATTTTGCCGTTGGTGGTGTTTTACAACAACGCGTGATTAACGCATGGCAACCTTTAGCTTTTTACACAAAGTCTTTAACGCAGACCGAACGTAAATACAGCGCATATGATAGAGAACTTTACGCGATTTATAAATCGGTCAAACGTTTCAGACATATGGTGGAAGGTAGAAATTTTACAATTTTTACGGGTCATAAGCCTATTACTTACGCTTTCCAGCAGAATTTAGATAAGTGTTCACCACGTCAATTCAGATATCTGGATTACATTTCGCAATTCACTACTGATATTAGGCATATTAAAGGTTCCGAAAATTGTGTTGCCGATGCATTGTCTCGCGTCGAAGCAATCGCCTCATCCGTCGATCACGATTCTCTCGCTTCTGCTCAGAAAAGCGATCTCGAGTTGCGCGAATTGCTCTCATCAAAAATTTCGTCACTTAAACTGAAAAAGGTTTATTTTCCGGATTACAACGTGCATTTATATTGTGATACGACAAGCGACGTTGTACGACCATATGTGCCCTTACCTTTACGTCGCGCCGTTTTTAACTCACTACATTACCTTTCGCACCCTGGCACACGCGCATCTCAACAACTGGTAACTTCGCGTTTCGTTTAGCCTAATATTAACAAAAATTGTAAAGAGTGGACGCGAGCGTGCATTTCATGCCAGCGATGCAAAGTTACTCGACACATGTACTCTCCAGTCGCGCAATTTAAGAAATTAGCCAATCGATTCGAACATATACACATTGACATTATAACCATGAGTTATTGTCAAGGGTTCCGTTATTGTTTAACATGCGTCGATCGTTTTTCTCGCTGGCCTGAAGTAGTCCCTCTTAGCGACATGGAAGCTAACACCGTTGCTAAAGCTTTATTCTCGACTTGGATTGCTCGATTCGGCGTGCCCGCGCGTATAACTACCGACCAAGGCCGTCAATTCGAATCAGCTCTTTTTGCAGAATTATGTAATTTGTTAGGTACAAAGCGAATTCGTACGACAAGTTACCATCCACAAGTAAACGGCCAAGTAGAAAGAGTGCACAGGCAACTTAAGGCAGCAATAAAATGTCACGACGGTAACGATTGGATATCCGTACTACCAGTAGTTCTTTTAGGTATGCGTAGTGCATTAAAGGAGGATCTTGGAGCGACGGCAGCCGAACTTGTATACGGCGCCGGATTGCGTTTACCCGCGGAATTTTTCCACGCAAGCAACCAAAATCCGACTTCAGACTCCGTTGAAGCTTTCAAAAAGCGCATCAATAACCTGAAGCCATCACCTACACAACGACACGGCGAAAAAAACGTCTTTATTTTTAAGGATTTAGCTACTACTCCTTACGTTTTTTTGCGCCACGATGCCATACGAGGTCCATCCGACCCTCCGTACGACGGGCCTTATAAAGTCCTCGAACGCAACGACAAATCTTTCGTTATCGATATAAACGGTAAAAAGGTCCGCGTTTCTATCGATAGACTCAAGCCCGCATTTATTGTATCCGATAACATCGAAAACAATGTAAATAACAAATGCAATCGTGAATGTTACGACGAAGTGGACTACGATATCGTAGTACAACGTAATTGTGATAAAGATACGCCTCCTTTTGAAATAGTCCCTGCACATGATAATGCCAAGCAGTTTGGACCACACAACATCAATTGTAATAACGAAGCGCATGTTAATGTTCAACAGCCATGTCCTGCTAACAAGAACCGCTTTACCACTCGTTCTGGACGAAATGTTCATTTCCCAGACCGTTACCAAGCTGGTTTTTCATAGTTTGTTCTTTTGCGTACCTGGATGATAGAACAGTCTTAACTCTAGTTCAGCGTTACCACTGGTAAGGGGGTGATGTGGCGTGCACTTTCTCTCCACGTGTTGGCCAGAAGTTTACCGTTTTATGCAAAAAAACTTTATAATTCTCGAACGAATTGCTGGAGAATTTATGGCAATCTGCAATAAACACATTAAACGTCGACGGTCGCGCGTCAGCGTTAATGAGTTTATTTAAGGGAAAACGCGCGCCTAACTTTCGTTTTTTTTTAATGTCAACCCGCGGTCCCAGCTACCCTTTCCACGGACCTCGTGGGAGGGACTTGCCTTTTTGACTGGATTCTTCCGAGGAGAAACGCGAGGTAGTTGGGGCGAGCCCTGGCACTCTAGCCCGAACCCGAGACCAGCTAACAGCTCGGCCTTCTGCCAGCTTCGCGGTTTACGTTCTGCCGAGTCGCGTTACATTTGTAAGTCTTGTTTAGAATTAAATAAAGTTATCCTCACACCAACTAAAAGTTTATTTCACCCTGCGCCCACGGCGACAGATTTCTTTACTATTTACTTTGACTGTGTTTGAATATTGAAGCGAGACTATACGGATGGCTCTTTTAGATTTCAAATTATCAAATGTATTTCTTACAATACCTTCCATCAATCCAATGCCTATTTCAGCTGAATCTTGAACATTTAACCTATTGTTACCCTCTACGCCTGACCTTATATACCTAATTTTGTATGTCAATAAAAAGGATCATACGTAAAAAATTGACATTTAAATTGCAAAAACCGTATTCTATTTTATTAGGACGGGTATTAATGCGCTGCTATGATGAGTTAAATAAAATATTATAAAATCTCTGCACGGTTTCGGCAAGAGTAGTTAAAGATGGTATATTTTGTATCCGCCGTGCAAGCACGCTGTCGCTGATACCCCGTCTGCGAGTCAAACTTCCTCTTGTCTTCGTGCACCGCATCAGGACTTATTCTATTGCCATATCGAATCAGATTCCACCGTAGAATTTATTCGTTTTTCTAATAGTGAAACATCCCTCTGAAAAATTGTTCATATTCAACCGCATTCATTTTCTTTGTCAACTATGCATATCTTGCAAATAAATTTAAGCCAATTCGGCATATCTAAAATTCCCCGTACATGATAATATGGCAACATTTTTCATAATGTGTCGAGGTATAATTCCCAGATTTTAGATAGCTCTGATTCGATAAATTATTTAACTAAGGTAACTAAATTATAATAAAGAACCTATAGTTTTGCCTTTGGCTCTCTAGTTTTCAAAGATTTCAAATTATTACAAAATTTCTTTGTATTTTGATAAAATCATCATAATTAATCACTAAACTATGAAATTTTATAGAACACCTGTACGTTGTACAAGATAAAATCTTGTCCGAAGAATTTTCTGCATGAATTTGATTATAAACATCTCTAAGGCCATTACCGTCCATAATAAATTCTATAGATTTTATAAACGAAAATAATGTATGTAGCCCAATCGAATAAGCACGAATAAAAGTTCATCCTTCTCCCACCAAGCTTATTAGATATGACGAGTTTTACAAAATGAGGTTCGTTAAAAGTTACAAATATCATTTCTTGATCTAAGAGTATCTGTTTATCGTCACTGATTCGGACAACAGTATATAGTGTACCATAATCGATTCGTGGATTGTTAATAAAAGATAATAATCGAACTTCGCAAGTTTTGTAATTTTTTTTTCAGTTATAATTTCCATAAAACCGTTACACTCTTTAAAATCTGTAGGGCACTTTATCTTGCCTACTAGCCATAGAAAATAAGTTCTACTTATTTATATTACATGATCTACTTTACGATATTTATTCAAATTTAACACTTGAACTTTTTTAATTATATTTTTTACATGAGCTTTATCTTGAAACTGATGTAAAACGACTTTCTCGCATTGGCCTTGAAATGATAAATTTGGAATTTCCTTCAATCGTGAAACCTGTTCGGCCGAGAAAACAACGTTTCTAGGGGCTGGAATTTCTGTGCTGCCTTTCACGTGAAAATTGTTACGACTTTCGTCATTGTACACGTTCGCTATAGATTCCGAACGAGATAGCAGTGACGCTTCAAACAATCGAACTTTATTGTACAAAGCACAATTTGCATCATTCAACGATTGCACAGTTCTCGCTAAAAGATAGACAATTATTTTGATATAATTATGATGATACCCGCCCCCGAGTTCTATTAAATCTTTAACGCCATCTATTCTAAATAATATTCCTACAAACATTTTATTTTTTAGTAAACCGAATCTATCTATTGTCAATTGATTAAAATCAACTACCTTATTAACAAGTATTTGTTATCAGATGATTTTTTCGTTGTTTTTTCATGAAATCTTCTGACTTATTCTACCGCAAAAAATACAAAGTTTACAAAAATAGAACGTTACCGGATCAGTTGATAAGCGGGTTGCATGCGAGGAATGGGCTTTTAATTTTTCTTCCTCCCTTTATCGTTTACAACTGTCGATTCTTCCTTAAGTTGTGTAACTTTTTGCACAATTCGTGTGAACGTTGATCTTTTCTTGTTTGATCTTTGAGTACCTTCCATCATTTCGTTCCTTGAAGACAGAAATCACTCTATTCAATGTGTCACTCTTGCTTTGGTAAACGTCAATGGAACTTGTTATTGGCTTATCACATAGAAGACAAGTCTCTATGTCGTCAGTCATTGTATAACTAAAAATTTGAATTCTTACAAACATGTAAATAATCGCCAAAACTGATATAGTTTGTGCTTATATAGTCGCAATCAAAAATTAATTATGTTTCGCAGCCATTGTACAAACGTTTAATGATCTATTTAAATGCCATTTGAGTTGAAATATAATTGAAATCATCTATTATGCGATAGCAATTAGTAATCGGGATTGAAATTATTATTCATTGATGCAAAACTTACATTTGAAGCAAGCGAAAAACAGACGAGGAAACTTTCTTAATGGTTTCTGTATTGACAGGCCTCTAACGGTGTGTTGAGTTCAAGTGTAAGCAAGCCTCTGAATTTTGCTGGCTTAGCTTGGTTGAGTTTGTCTTGGCTTGACTTGGCTTAGCTAGTTTTATTGCTAAAAATTAAAATCAACGAATTAAATAGAGAATGTATAATTTGAAGGCTCACAGAAAAAATCGATTTTGTATAACAAATAATAATGTCAGTTTTATAGTGAGCGGATACTATAATTTTCTTGCAATTATTTCAAGATAAATGTAAAATTAATTTTTCATAGCGTCCGTATAAAAATGCAAATTCTATTTTATTTTGAATAAATGTTAAGCTTGTTTCAAAGTTAGTAAAATTAATCTACTTACTATTCATACAGAATCGAAACGTTCCTTGTCCAGAATACACCGCACAGAACAATAACAAACTATAAATACGCTGCTACTAATGATGAAATGAAGTCTCAATTAAGATAAATTTAAGCAACACTGTCTCTCACAAAATCTAAGACTCTAATGACCCTAATGCTCTACATCTGCACATCTAACAACTATAGCAAGCTTGTACTTGTATAGTCTCTATACTGTAGCCTCTATACAATTCTGTAGGTATCCGTTTTCACCTGGCAAACTGAGGCGACATCTTGCCTCATCTTTACTGTATACTTAATATACTGTACGAGGTGTGATCAAAAAGTAAGGTGAATTTTTATTTTTCTCAAAAAATATTTATTTATTCATCAATTTTTATTTTATCTCCTTCAAAGTAATCCCCCTCGGATATAATGCACTGTAACGGTCCTGTCTGATTTGTCTCCTATTTTCCTCTGCAAAACGGCAACCCGTCACACACGAGACAATTAGAGAAAATCGGTAATTGAGCGTAGGCGCTTTTCACACGTATATGCAAATGTGTTAGGGCAACTCTGCGAAAACATTACCATATAAGGAGAGTGACGTCACGACCGTGGGAAAATTTATTGTTTACAACAGAAAATCGTTAATTATAAAGTTTTTTAAACGAACAAAAGTATTTCTTAGTTAAATTTGATGCGCTGATCCTGAATTTCATATTAATTTAACTCTCAAATAGATATTTATTAGTCAAATCTAATTTACAAGTTAACATTGTTAGTTATTTTGCAATAAACAACGATATTGTTATTTCAAGTATGCGATCACAATCTCGACATATTAAAACAGAAAAGCAAGAATTTGACACTTTGATAACCCATTATTAACTGAGTTATCAATAAATAAACAATTTATAATTTTTTTAAACAATTAAAATGACACAGTTAGATAGAAAATCGATCATAAGTATATGTAAAATTGATGATTATGATTGTTGCTAATTTGCTGATTTTTAAACCGCTAAAAAAGAAAATTGCAAATCTGTTTTTTGATTATTATTCAAAATTAGAGAGCAACATTAATCATCTTTTATATGGATAATAATCTTCTAACCACAAGCAATTTTTCCATGTAAAAATTTTCCATAATTTTATTGTAAAAATGGCGTAATTTGATTATTAAATTGTATAGCTTATAACTTTAAGAGGCGATTTTTCCTAGAGATGCAATTTATATTAAAAAATTCATCTTTTCGAGTTTAATTTTTTAAATCGCACAATTGTAAATTCGTTCGAGCCATTTTGCAATAAAACGTGTACAAAATTTGCGTCAAAGACAAAAATAGCGTTGTAGGGGCTACCAAGCGTAGAAAGGAGCCCATTTCGCATGTATAAATTCGCTCGTCGCTGCGGCAACAGGACTCACTTTCCTACCTTGCTTAGCAGCGCGAGCACTGTTGTTGAAATAAAGCCTCAGCTATTTCCTGAGACGAATTTCTTTTCAGTGGTTAGCCTGTTAAACTCCTTCCCTAACGATCTCTAAGAGCTCAACTCATGAGACTATTTCTCTCATGAGAAAAAAGCAGCCTTAGAGATCTTCCCTTCCGAAATACATTTGCTGTTAAGAGATCGGATTGAGCAGTAATTGCGGCGCTGTC